AAACAGTATACCTGTGCTAGGTATATCAGGATATTTAATTTAAAAATTTTAATTTTGAAAGAAGTCTTCAACATGAAATTGACAACTTTTTGACATTGAATGATGTGAAATACTTTTTCTAATTTTTCAATGTCGTTCATCATGGTGATTTATATTGTGTTAATATTACAGGATATATTCAGATTTTTATTTTTTGTTAGTAAAAATGAATAAATTTTGCAGAGATTGTCGATGTCTGTCTTTTTGTTGATATTGTTTTCTTTAATTTTAATTTCAGACATTTTCAGAAATGGCCTTTTATTTGAATTTATTTATTTGAAATGGAGAATTGTGGAGTATAATTGACTGAATGATCATTATCTAGAACGTGTTGTAGAGCACAAGAATTTCGTTTTAAATTTTTACAATTACTTTTATGAAGAGCTATGCGGGTTTTTAAATTGTTTTTTGTTTTCTCTATATATATCATATCACAATCGTTGCAGGGAATTTCGTAAACTACATGTTACTTTTCAAATAACGGATCTTCATCTTTTAATTTTGAGTGTAGTTTAATTAAGGGTTTAACTTTCTTTTGTGAAATTTTTATATTCTTTTCTTGTTTGAATACGTTTATGATTTTGCTGGACAATTCAGGGTATAAGGAATGGAAGAGTATTTGAAATTTGGATTTTCAGCTTGATTGTTTTCTCTGTTGTTGATGATATTAGGTGAAGTATTATATAACAATTAATTCTAAACAGACCGAATCCCCGAAAAACCACTCTTTTATAGGTATATACGTACGGTCGTTACACTATCAATTATATGCAATTGCAAATTGATTTATATCAGATTAATCTATTTTTCAAAAATAAAAAACTTTTGTTCAAATTCAACCGACCTTGTAGGTCTTACGGTTTACGAGATAGCAATAGTGGGATCAGCTAAAATAAACGGCCTGTATACATCATCAATAAAAACTTCGAGTAAACCTTATTACAGAAATACACATTGAAAACAGGATTGTTGTGGTTTCAATATATTTTTGACGAGGTCGAATTTTCTTGTAAATTGTCGATGTGATGCAGCACGGTGTGAAAGTTTCAAGAATGTTCATTATTACTCATAATTATTTGGTCTGCTGGTTTCTACTGTGAATATTAACAACTCGTTAGCACTCATACTGGAGTGCTAACAAGCAATATATTACAATGAACTACAGACAATCCAGGGCCTTTTGTTTCCCAATTTTCGAAATGAAATCTTTCAAAAACATAATGGAAATCACCTCATTGGTTACCCATCCCCACCCCTCTTCTGATCAATTCAAAGAGTTTGAAAATATCTACTCATTTGTTAAATGTGAAGAATCTAAATAAAGGGTCTTTATTTACTTGGGGGCTACTAGCATCGCTATTCTTCCACTCAACCAAAAACAGACATTTGACAAAAGTTTTTTACAATATTCTTATCATATGACGAATCATACAAACAAAGATAGAAACAAAACAGAACGATATTTCATTTTCTTTCATTTCATTTTACTGTTTAGTGGAAATAATTACTTTGACTTTATTTTTGAATAAAAATTATGATTTCGTTTTAAAATAATCAAAATAGATGTTAAACAGAGTTGATGCCTGGTAAGAAAATGAGTATTCATAAATTTGTGAAGAATGATTGGGAATTGTGAGTTGTGTAAGATGGAGTTTTCTGTCATGTATGAAGTTTCGGGGTACAAATTTATTCACGAAATATTCGGGAGTTTTACTATCTAGAAGTCTATAAACAGAGTTTATTAGATGATACTCACGTCTATTACACATTGTCTCTTAGATGCGAAATTTTACAAATAAAAAATAAGGGTTTACCAAACTCATATTGATTACGTTTGCGGCCCCATAGTTGTCCTGATTTTTGTCTGCATTTGGGCATTGCTTCCCCACTTCCTTTTGTGGGTATTCCCCATGTCTTGTCAGATCTTCAAGCACGTCCTTTCAATCTTGGCAAAGATTGGTCCATGATCCTCTTCCAAGATCTTTCTTCTTATTTATTCAAATCGTTCTGTGGCATCCTGCATCAGAGTTGACATCTTCCAACGGTGGTAATTAATTTGAGACCTTATCACTGCTCGGCTGGCGCGTTCCAATATGCGTTTGGCTCTCTCTCCTGGGATTGGCGATTTCAGCAAAGAAACCTTTGGGTATGATGTTGTTGTCTCTAGCTCTGCACAAGAAGCTGAGGTGAGTTTCTTCTTTGGTAAGCTTGACCATAGTCTTCTCATAGCCTCGGAATAAGTCGCTGGTTCCCCCGGGTATTCAACGTAAGTTTGAAGGTGGTTGACAATGTTTCGTGGTGCAACTTTTTCGAATAACTTTTTTCGGTCTCTCCAACGCGAAGCAAAATATCGGGAATTTTCCATTCACGCGAGATCGCAGTAGGCTGGATTTAAGGCTGTCAATCAAGCCGCGTATTGCGAAAAATGTGACCTGCACCAAAAATCAATTATCTGCTTCCAAAAGTGACTATAATACAGAGGTGTCTTCATCTTAAGTGTGTTACACTGTAGGTACGAATATCTTCTGAAAATATTTTGATGTTACCTTATTCTAATGCTATCGTTTGAAATATCTGTCCTACATTCTGTACAACAGTTACTAAGACGAGGATAGATCAATTTTTGTCTTTCCAGTATGTACAACTATTGTTTGTTCTTCAAATATGTTTCAGAGTTCAATATAACTCATGAAAAACATTATTGAAATTTGAATGATGAAACGGTTTCTACAATTGTTTTCAACTTAAGAATTATACCAGTCATCAATGTCATCATGGTTGTACATCATGCATCAGTCAAACATAACACGGTGTTGTCAAATGTATAAAATTCCACCATTAGCACCAAAATTCGATACCAATGCAATAAGCCCCTTCACGCTGGAACCCGGTTTGAAAAAATCTACCTTTTTCAGCCTACTTCACCTACAAACGATACTAGTAAATCTAGTAATGTTCATTTTTTGTAGTCTTATCGGTTACCGAGAAAGCACTATTAATATTATTCAAACCAAGAACTTCAAGTAATAATGTGCTTAAGAGTTTTGAAATAGGTTCGAAATCGATTGTAGTTTATTGTAGTAACAATACAATATCAATATGAATGAAATAAAATCGATTATTTTTCAACTAAACTAACCTGACATAACCTATCCTAACCAACATATGTAACCTGAAATCTGAAGTAAAAACTAACGTATTTTAGAATGCTTTGTTTGGAAAAAAGCATCTACCCTCAACATCTAACTTGACTTCCTAATTCAAAAACGAATTCATGTTAGTATGTTGGAAATAATTCTTAAACCTTAACAATACAAATTTAAAGCTGTTCATAGACATCGTCAACCTGAAAAGTTTAATTCTCGTTCCATTTGTAATCCATAATTATTTTGTGTTCAGACTGCCGCTTTTATTAACGCCTGTTGAATAAAGGAGACCTAGAAGAGCGAAAATCCCAGAGGCATTGGTCGGCTTCACATCTCTCTCTCTCGAAAATGTTGGTGAGCTTTGGAAGCTATGAACTCATTGGTATATTCAACGACTATAGCAATAAAGTCAACGCTGAATAAACATTTCCAGCATTACAGAGGATTTTTTTTATATAACTCAGTTTCCAGAGAGGTGGGATACCATATTGTGAGATCTTATTCTAACAATTTTGTTGAAGGGCAGTACTTTCCACTCTAAATCATTTTTACTTTCAACTACCTTTCTCAAGTGAACATTAATTTTTTTCGTAGAATTTTCATCACCATGGATCATGGTGGTTTACAAGTGGATCATGGATCCACTTGTAAACGAGGACAAACATCACCCTTCCATACAAATAGATTTCATAACCTCACATAGTCGTGATCGTTTTAATAACTTCTCTCATTCTTGTGACATATCAAAAAATTATAATTTCAGGAAAGCCAATTTTACTATGATATCAACTTGTTGCCAATGAAGATTGGTCTCGTGTTTTAGAACAAACAGACGTAAACACTGCATGTCATAATTTAAACAATATTCTGTATAACATTTTCGACGTCACTGTTCCCCTAAAATCTAATCGTACCCGTAGATATCCTGGTTCACATCAACTATTATAATAAATATTCGAAAGAAAGAGCGGGCCCACAAAAACTTAAAAAAGTATAAAACATCTTTTTATCGAGAACAATTTATTTCGCTAAGAGCTGAAGTCAAGCTACAAATTAATGAATTTTATAAAAACTTCGTTGTTGAGAGTGAAAACAATATACACGGAAATCCCTTTTACAAATGATCAACTTCCGCACCCCACGCCTTAATTCCAGATATCAAACGACATTTTACTGTGATCTTGTCAGAGCAAATAACAGGTTGAAAGCACCAGTATCAGTACTTTGTAACAACTATAATTCAATATGTGATATGTGGGATATTAATCACAGTTCTTGAAGTTTTATTTTAAAATGTATGCTCACTAGAACCTTTTAACTGTGATCACTTTTTCTTTTCGCTTCTTGTGATATATTTCTATTTCTACTTATTTTTCTCTTAGTTGTAGCAATCTTTTTTTAACTAATTATACTGTTTGTCATATATTTTCATCAACACCTTTGTACATTTCTTGTAATTGGTTGAATGTCTGTTGGAAATAAAGTGCTATCAATCAATCAATCAATCACCAGTGTCGTTGCCGTCAGATAAACCCTGTTCAGATTCGGAGTCTTCTTCACGGATCTCAAATTTATCATGATTCTAAGCGATATATTTGTCATCACAACAGTCAGATTTTTCATCAGAAAACAGGTCATTGTTCGTCCATAAGACGTTGCAAGCGTACCTTCTCCGTTTCATATGACATCATTTCATATATTTACAAAAATAACTCCATTATTCCTAATATGGGGACTGTTACTAGAAGATCAGTATCAAACCTCAGAATGAATAAATGTTCATCTTAAATGTATTGTATAATTTTTTTATTTCAGGAAGAATTGAGAACACAAGACTGTAATGGCAACATATCAAAAGTGATATGTACTTCGGAATGCTTGCAAACACCAAAAACTTTCCTCCTAAAATCCTTGAAGTCTCCAAATTCTACTGAAAAGTTTTTACTCTGCTATCTGCAGAATGAAAGCGAACACAAACAAGATAGAATTTTTGCCTGCGACATGAAATGCACAGAAGACCTTGAGAATAATAATGGATGTCTATACAAGTCACTGACGTTTTGGAGCTTTGTTATTCTCATGTCTTTGGGATCGATTGGTTTCAATGTTGTCAACTCTATTAGCGACGCCATTTGTTTCGATGTCATTGGTAAGTAGTAATTACTTATCGTATGATTAACCATTCAATTATATTTATAGTATTCAGAAGTGAAAAGTCAAATATTTCAGAAACATTTAATATCATTATATTATTCTTAATAAATTAACGACCAGTATCATTTTCAAAATTAACATACGAGGTGGTACAGGTCGTTAGTTTGTGTTATATCCATATACTGGATGATACCATAGCCCATTCGTCATCAGATACTTGACAGCGCTATTTCAATCTGTCATAATGAAAAAGAATACACATTGAGCACAAAATGGCGATGACGAATCCCCTTATAATTTGATTCATAAATGAAATGGCATCTAAATACTTTTCGGAACTTCTTTGAAGGTGGTTTGACAAAATTTACAGAATTTATAAACAAATGAGTGAAAAAAAGTGGTTTGTTTTTTTAATTTCTCAAAAAACTCCTTGGTATATCTGGAATCTGCAAAAATATCTAGAACAAGTAGTGGCGCTTTCGTTCGTGTTGATAGTTGATCAATAAAAAAATTAAGTAATATCTAGACACATAAATAAAACATCCGTCAGCAATGAAATTTTATCGCAATATTACAATCAACCCGTCTTCTGTTAACTAGTTAACTCAGATAATTTTTTGACTGAATACCTGATATTCCTTTTCAGTATTGAAAAAACTCATATCAATTTGTTTTCTTGTAGCTTCTGTTGAAAACTAATGATAGTAATGATGATTAGCTTAAATTTTTCATTGAAAAAATAACAGCAATGTACTCGACATACAGTCCCCTGACCATTTTACCTAAAATGAGAATAAACAGTGAATATACATATTCCTCCTTTACACAAAAATACATTTCATCAACGCCTTTTTTGTGTACACACGATAGCATTCTCATAATAAAGAATAATACAGAATCTGTGTAATATTATATCTCCACAGAAACATATAAATTACGCAACTTCAATTTTATTCAATATTCAACAAGTTGGAACCAAAATACTCCAAAGCGAGCCTGATAAAAAAGACTGGGAAGAACTGAAATGTATTTTCCGTTGGACAGCTGCAGTATAGTTCAAGTAAACGATATAGTGCAACCTACCTTCCAACAGCTTCCCTTTAATAATATAGTTAGGGAGCTAACTAATTTCGTTATTCAATAATCATTTCTTATTATATAAGAATCACATTAACTATATAATATACTAGATGACCGTGCGAACTTCGTTCCGCCGTAGAGGCAATTCTTGATTTTATTAATTTAATTTTTTTATTAATCAAGTATTTCAATTATTCTTTATTAGGTTGCACTCTTCAGTTAAGCACTTTGTGATACACGACATTTTTTGTTTTATTATCAGGCGCAAGTATAAACAACGCAGATGGTCTTCCGACCCGTGAACATGCCACATATAATTGACCATGTGAAAAACATTTATTTTCCAGATTCAGACCACAAACTTTCAGGGATTGGCCTTGTGAATTGTTAATGGTCATGGCGAATGCAAGACGAATTGGTAATTGAAGTATTTTAAACTCAAACGGCATATCGATTGGGATCATCGGGATCCTCGGAATGAGAACTTCCTCACCTTCGAATTTTCCTTTGAGTATTGTCGCGTAAATCACATTGTTCATCAATTTACTTACCACCAAACGTGTACCATTGCAAAGTTTTGGTGGGTTTATGTTTCGAAGCATGATTACTACGGAGCCACTTCTTGGCGTAAATTGTGTGGTGGTAAGCCAGGCACATCCAAGGAGTTTGAAAATTCAATTGGATAATTGGTGGCTCCATCTTCATTTGTTATACAGTCAATTGTTACATAGTTTTCCGCATTGTTCACCATCGCTATTGGAATCACTGGAAAAAGTCTGCGTTGTTATCACACTCGTTATTAATATTAGTTCTTGTCCAAGGACGTCACATTTTAAACAGTTAACAAAAATTTCAAGTTATTATAACTGCACCAATATCGAATTTCAACACTTAAATCGCGATTAGTTCCTGAACTGAACATGACTGGGATAACCTTCCCCTATTTCTATTCGTCACCGTAACATGACTTCCTATTTAATTTTATGACTCTTCAGTAAAAATTATCCAATACGAACCGCCAAGTCTACAGCCCTCGTGGACTAGTTCGGCTTTCTATGTATCAGTTTTTCTGGCCTTTGAGAGTGCCGCTAACTTTAAATATTCACAATATCGTTTACTTCAACTGTACCTATACGGACAACAACCGTCAAAAGTCGAAACTAGTGCAAACCAGCGTAAGGCACTATTCAACATGAGCACATGAAAACAAGAATCCGACACAGTATTGCCAAGCTGCTATGAAATACATTCCACTGATTTTTTTCGCTCGGCGTAAACTTCAGCTTTTGACGCTCACAAGTACGCATAAGTATTCGCACTTGACAACATGCCAACCGCCAGCAATCCATATCTTTTCCTGGCTTCACACTTGTTCTTGGCGCTCGCTCATGTCTGAATTTCTATCGTTTCTAGTACTGCTAGTACTCTACAAAATTATCGTATTATTTTGCATAATCAAAAATCAAGTGTGAAGGATCATTTTTCGCATATAAGAAATTCGTAATCTCCAGAATTATCTCCACGTCTCTGAAATTATCCAGTGTTTCATTTTCATCGAAAGCCTAATGTAAAGAAATATTTTATATTTCAACAATTTCGAATTTCAGGTGAACAATATGATTACGGGCACCAGCGAGTTTGGGGTACGATAGGCTTTGGAATTTCCGCACTGATAGCTGGTTACGCTGTTGATGTTTTCTCTGGGACTTCAATCACATATAAACCGGCAGTGGTTGTGATGTTATTCTGTTTCTTATTAGACTTCCTTGCTTGTGTCAAGTTGCAGGTAAAATATCAATGTCATATTTTCAGTCGTTTCTAATATTCAACTTTCACTGGTAAATAAATAATAATTTTGGTCTAGTATGAAACACAGTTTGGTTCATTCGATGATTGTCTAATCACTCACAAAAGTTTGATAAAACGAAGCTGAGTGATCCTTCAGGTCAGCTGGCAAGAAATGAACTCTGGCGAATGCTGAAAACCTGATTTGTTAACAAGGACATAATTCATAGTGAAGAATCCACCAGCCAAAAAACGTTCTTATGATCCCCTCAGATTGTAGCTCTGGAAACGTACCTTATTGAGATTATGGAATGTTCTATTTCCACCTTGATGCCTGCCACAATCCTCCTATAAGAGATCATCAGGTATTCCTGACGATACATTGGGTTCAGCCATGCAGGGTTTTTTCACCTCTGGTTTGAGTGAATCATCATTTGAGTAAAATACTCTAGCGATCCAAATGAATTATATTTAAAAATATGTGTTGCGTAACAGAATTAAGTTATCCAAAAAAGTGTTTTTTGCCAGAGTTTTGAGTTTCATTCAATTCTTCTTCTGAGTTGTAACAATGAATTTTATAAAACGTATCTAACACAAACTGTGTAACTTGTCGTTTTTCAATGTTGTAAGAATTGTAAAAGAGTTTTTCCAAGTTAAAACTATAACTTAATTTGAAAATCAGCAGACTTCTTAGATATATGTGGGAAACAAAGAACACTGTGGCAAAGAAAATATTCAAGACCAACACAACTCAATGACATGAAACAAACGAATGGCTTCATCTATAATTTTGATAAGGTGGTACCTGTTCTGAAGAAAGACAAAATTAGAATAGGAAAAAATATTTTGATTTCCTCTCCTACTATAAATTTTTTTTCTGCTGCCCAAGGACTTGATGTAAGTTAGACTCCTAAGATATCCTAGTCTTCAGGAGGCGATGAGTTGCTTCCTGGCTGCATCACTCAGCCTCCTGTGTTTGTTCAAGAGTTGGAGAACGAAGAAACTTCTGCTCTTGATTTCATATCGCAGAGAGGAAAGCCAAGGTCATTCAGTCAATCCCCATCTCCTCGGTAAATTCAGCTGGAGGACTGAGAAGCTGCCGATAAAGTTAAAATGTTAGCGAAACGTTTTTTGAATTGAAAAATGGTTGTTAAAAATGTTTGATTATTATCATGGATGATAATGAATATTACAGGAAGATTAAATTTTCTCTTGATGATTAAACTTCCTCTTTCTCTTGAAGATGATCCCTTGGTGATTGAAACACGTGTCGAGGTGTTAAAAATAACTGTTTGTTGTTGCGATAAAACTCCAGTGATATTCATTACCACAATAAATGTTTCAAACAGCGCATTAAAAGTATGGACAGTGTTATCAATTTTCAGCTAGTAACGGTTCAGACCATTCATATTATCCTTCATTGGAAGGATACTGAGATTGAATGAAGGTTCGAGATGATTACAATTTACGCAATTCTCCAATAATTTGTTGAAGTAACACCACTTTCAATAATTACGAAATGAATAACGAATAATGTTAATTTTTCAAAAAATTGATAATAAATATGATGAATTTGACAATTCTTTTTTATTTACGAGTATGTTATCATTTCAGTGGATATTTTTTAGCTACCAATTATGGAAGCTCCTGAAAATATTTTCAAAGATCTTCGACGGTTGATGAACAACAGGAATGTCCTTACTTTCATGATATTTGCAGTATGTGCTGGGATTGTGGATAGTTTCATTATATATTACTTATTCTGGTAAGATGTTCGTAAATCAGCAAATTTTGAATTGGAAGTCACCTATATTTCTTCATTTGAGAATTATAATGGATATAATATTGTACGAAATCAATAGAAGAATGTTTATTAATAGATCGAAATATGCCTCAAAGAAATCAATTGATGTAGTGTTACTACGTGGTAGGAGATCATCATGAAAATGAGAAATGAAACTTTCTTTGTTTTCCAACACTTTTATTTGTAACTATCATTACTGCAGTTTCGTTCTATATGGACATTTTCAATCTAATACAATAAAACTGAAAATAAATAATAATGTTAGCCCTAACATAACTAAACAACACTGTAGGTAATAACAGAGGTACTTAACTCAAGTGAGTACCTGTATTTTGTTTACCTGTGACAATGTGGATACGCTAATTTGAAAACCGATGAGTAAACTAGATCGATTTGATCATTTAACAGTTTGCACCAGCAATGTTTATGCTTATGTGGCCAAAAAATGTGGCCGAAATTTCTCAAGAACATACAGAACATGAAAGGTGGTTCAGAATAGGTACTTAATCGAGTTAAGTACCTGAGTTTATTACCTACAGTGGTGTTTAGTTATATAAAGGTTAACAGTTTTAATGTATTAGTTTGAAAATGTCATCTTAGGACCAAACTGCAGTAACGTTAGGTACAAATGAAAGTGGTAAAAATAATAGATAGTTTTATTTCTCATTTTTCATATTTAAGCGTTACCTAAGCGACTGTAGCATGTTCATTGATTTTCAGGTATTTAGAAGACTTAGCAGAAACCACCCACACAACAAATATAAAATTACTGGAAGGTTTGATAGTAGCTGCCGAAACTTTAGGAGGAGAAGTGATATTCTTCTCGATATCAGGTGATCAAAATTTTCGTTTAGCTTCTATTGAATATTGATAATGAAGGAGGTAATCTGACACATCGGTGAAAATTGGTTTGATGAAACCAGATATACATATTTTGATATCCGACTTGAATCATGTTTGAAGTCTGTAGTTGTTTCACAATTCGGCTTTGAAGCCATTTTAAAAAACTACAGCTACATCTGCCTAGTCCTCGTCACTGGTCTCCACAAGTATCTTATTCCGTCTACTCCCGGAAAATTTTGGAGCACGCAAAACACTTCTACCTTTTATGCCTTCACCAACAAACTGACCACGCTAAACAGCTGCAACTGTGAAACATATGTTCGAGACGAGTGTACCAATTTGAGAAAAAATCGCTAATCGAATGTCCGGAGATTGCGAAATTTGAACATTCACCTTAGTTTTTGAATAGTCCACGTATATTTTCGTATCACCAATGAACAAATCAATATTAGTATTCTAATATGTGAAATTTGTCTCCTTATCAATTCGATATTTAGTTCATTGTTCTAATTTGGTGAATATGTGTCGTCATTAGTTTACGGTTAATAAGAGAATAAGCGTTAATGAGCTTTCCATATTTTAGTTAATACCCAAAATGGCATTGTAACTATAGATATCTCTGTGTTATCATGAATGAAAAAGAATTGAATATACGTCGTTCTCGAATAAACTATTACGCGAACAAAGAGGGTTTGATGCAATGTTGAAAAAAATTAATATAAGTCAAAATTGATACAGGACAGTTGTAAATGATAAAACACTCAGGTATTGATTCAGTTGCTTGACACAATCAGTCAAGAGAAAAAGGTTATAATCAGTTTTTTCGGATTTTCAATGATACGTGTTCGTTTTTATATACATTCATTGTACCTTACTATTTGAAATTTTCAAAAACTTCAGAAGCAAGCGTCAAAGTTGATCTTTTCCAGCATTGTGAAATTTTGGTGTCATAATAATATTGTAATCTATAATATTTGATTGAATGTTTGCCTACACTCCCCTAATTATTAGATCTGAGAACAAAATACATATTCATATACATATTTTCACGCCATTAGTGTTCCCAATGATCCACCACTGAGCATCATATCGGCACCATCGCCACTTGGCAAACTTCTCCAATGACAATGAANAGATTTAAATTGAAATATTAGGTCTTAGTTTTAGTTAATTTGCGTGAAAACTTGAATGTAATTCCGTTATTTTCATTAAAAATATTTACGCTATTTGTTTTTTTTTTCATCTGGCGGCACTTCATTGTTGAAATCTTAAAAAAATATTCTAATGGCTATATCTGTTGATACAGGGTGTTTTTTGTAACTGTTAGCTGTGTGAGTTTTCGAATTTTTGAGTTGTCATAACTTTGTTAATAATGAATATTTATCCATGAAATTTTGGTCACTCACACCTGTTTAGAGGCACTCTGAATCCAGTGACGTAGTGATTTTTTAAATAAAAAAATCGCTAATAAAAAATCCCGATTTTCGACTAAGAAAAAATATCGTAGTATGCCCTGAAACTTTAATAAACATTTCAAATTTTGTCCCAAGGTAGACCTTTTAGTACTTGACATTTCAAAAAAAAAAATTATTAAAATCGGTTTACAACTTCAAAATTTAAGGGGGGTGTTTCCATCAAAAATGGGTCACACTGTATATGTGTAGATCATGCAAAGAAGTAACTTTCAGACACAAAAGAAAAAGTCCTCCTGAAACAGCTACTTTCATATAAACAAACAACGAAAGAAAAATTCTTGCGAAACAAATACTTTTATATGAACACTAAATTATACACTTGCGCTATGGAATCTTGAATTGGGGTATGAGCTCCTCTGCTGAAAGAGTATTTATATTACAAAAGGGCGCGGTCAGAATGATTGCTAGTTTGGGATGGCGACACTCATGTAGAAGTTCATTCAAAGAGCTGGAAATACTCACAGTTGCTGGTCTGTATATATATGAGATGTGTCTTTACGTTCATGAGAATAAAGAAAAATTTAACGCAAATCAGCAAGACCACCCATACGCAACTAGAACTAGAGGGTTGTTGATAGCGAATCCTCACTGAACCTTCCTCTATCAGAAGAGTCACATATACCTTGGACCTAAACTGTATTACAAGCTAGATGTTTCTATTGAGGACTCATTGAACATCTGCATTTTCAAAAGACAATTGAATAAATATCTTATCGAAAGAAACTGCTACACCGTTGACGTTGATTACAAAAGTGAAAATGTAGTCGAGAAAAGTTTTTTCTCATACATGCACTTTTCTGAAGACACTGACTTGATGTCATGAGAAACTTTTGAAACAACTCAAAAACAATAGTGCCTTTTTGACAGTCTCCAAGCTAAACGTCACGATTCAAATCCAACTCAGATTCTCCAGATGAAAGAGTTTTTGAACAGTAAAGTTCTAGTGTACTGAGTTCAACCTCAAAACTATAAGCAGCCACAGTCCGTTGCATACTTCTGATATGCACCGCTCTTGGTGGAATCGAATGTGCCAAGTCACTTGAACACTTCCCGTAAAAGTATCTATAGAAGAGAGACAAATGTCAAGGTTGCACGTGATGTTCGCGTCTGCAATCAGGCGGATGGCTTTTTTCTGGATGGAATCCAGCAACTTAGTGTATGTTTGGGAGCAGAGCTCCATACATGAGAACAATACTTAAAAGAAGGTCTGATCTGTGCCTTATAAAGCGTTAAAAGTTGCTGAAGTGTGTACAGTTTTCTTGTTCGGAACAGTGTTCCAAGCTTTTGAGAAGCATGCTTTGCAATTCCAGCAACATGATTGTGTCAAGACATATTGGTGTCTATTTTTACCCCCAACAAACTTATCGAAGCAGAAAGCGGAATTGTCTGACCTGACATTATTATATCCGGTTTGGATACATTTATCTTCTTGGAGAAAACCGATGACTGGATTTTTGTGGAATTTCACCTCAAATCGAGAGCACTTCTAGATCCTCATTAAAATATGCAACTTCCTGCTGCCGGTGAAGATGTAACTCCGTAGCCGATGTCCTGGAATCCAAATGGAAAGACGAGACATGATTAGTTCGAACTACACCTTCAATAGGTTACATCTTTTGAACCCTACTGAACTGTCATTCATTTAAATTATAGTAATAGATACCGAACCACTGAAGTAATGAGGCACTACAAGTTATACTTCATATAGTCCTACGTTAAAAGTTATGAAGTTTTAAAAAAATGCATTTTGACCTTCAACGTAATAAATTAAACTAACTAGCTTTTTTCATCGAAGGTAAGATCTTGGAGCGATTCGGACACGTCCACTGCTTCAGCATGTGTTTTATCAACTACGCTCTCCGCCTTGGTCTCATTTCCATAGCGCCGTCACCATGGTGGATACTCCCCATTGAGTTCGTGTTCCAGGGACCTACCTACGCATTGACTTACACCACAATCGTTGCTTATGCCAACGAATTGTCACCTCCTGGTGCTTCCGCCACGATGCAAGGAATTGCGGCAGGAATGGATGATGGCTTTGGTATGATATTTTCTCACTTTTGAATCTTTGATTTTTTTTCATATATTGGTTGCTCTCATATAATTTTTTGTAAAGAGCAGATTTCCTTCTGGTTTTCAGAATTTCGTTATCTGAAAATAATCCACGATTGCATAGAAAAAGTAAATCAACATTTGTTTTTTTTAACCAACTGATATAGTTTCGAAAAAGGTTTGTGAAAATAGCTGGAATGAACAAAAAGATTTTTTTTCATGAAATGCTGCAATGAAATGTCTGTTCAGCATGGAAGTTAATAATTTCAAGAAAACAATTTCTTGATTTCATCATCCCAGAATGTAGATGAAAAATTGAAACATATTGAGAAAATCTGAAAAAATATTACTTCTCATGTGATCATTGAAACTTAAAATCTGCAGTAACAATCAGAAATTGATTGTCTGTATATTCATCAATGAATTCTTGGATATAAATTATAATTAGAAATCGGTTACACTTTGCTTGCAACTGAAAAATGGTAGATTAACTTTTGAATCATGAAAAATTTACAGAAAATTAATTGAAAAATTCTAAAATGTACTTACTTTCGTGTTACCAGAAATCATCAAAACTCTCATTCACCTCTAATTCGAAGTAACGAAAACAAAAAAAAAATCAAATTTTCAAATCTAATCAAATTTTTATTCGCCTTCCAAAGTATTCACAAAATATAAATGAACGAAAACTGTTTTATATTGAAAATATCACTTTATTTCTTATTTCCAATGTCTCCATAACGGGTCTTCCAAGAGGAACTTCCTAACTTTGACAATTGATAACGGCTATCTTGTTGAAGCTACATCTGTCAAATTAGTTGTCATTCATTCAGTTTGTTTTTCATAATTACCATAGACGGATATATCATTCAACAACACGTACAAATGATAAAATTGTTTTATCAAAATGGGCGTTCTGTTCGGGCACTGTACCGCGCGCTTCGCCCATTTTACTATTTGCAATATGGTGGATAAATTTGAGTCCCCTGGTTCAGTCGATTTCGCGTTGCTCACAAGAACTCGGCTTTTCGCAGACTACAACTTGGTGAATTTTGCGTCGTTACTTAATTCTGCACTCGTACAAAATTTAACTGATCCAGGAACTGAAAGTAAACCACCGTGAACGGGCTCTGAAGCAGTTGGCAACTGGCCCTAATTTTCATCGAAATATCATCTTCAGCGATGAGGCGTATTTCTGGATAAATTTGGAACGATACCAATCCAATCCACCAAGAGCGTCCAATGCATCCCGAAAAAGTCACTGTTTAATGGGGATTTAAGGCTGACGGCGTTATCGGTCCATATTTCTTTGAGAACGACGTTGACTAGGCCGTCACTGTCAACAGCGAGCACTATAGTCGATGATTACTATCGATGATATATATGTATATCAGTTAGATTGGGCCAATCGAGCATTACTATTAAAAAAAAAACTGACACATCGACCAACACGGATCTCTTCATTATCATTCATTAAATATAAAAAACTTGCACGAAGGTAGTTTTTGTTAATATTTCTTCAATTTTTAACCAGGTTATGCTGTGGGTAGTTTCATCGGAGGAGTTCTATATAAGTACCAAGGAGGAAGAAATGCTCTGCAAGTATTCTGTGCCTTCGGGGTTCTGTGCAGCGTGATACATCTAATACTACACAAAACTCTCTTGAAGAAATCTGAAGAACCAACTTCCAATGGCCAGATACAATATAACACTCCGAAGGAAGCCATCAAAATGACACTCCATAATGTCACTTAATTGTTGTTATACTAATCATGGTTGTGACTATGTGTATGCTTATGAATAAACGTATTTCTTATTTTTTTCATTTGTGAGCCAAAGATAACCTCATCACATATACTTGAGAAAAATATTCCTTGATATAATATGTAGGTATATTTTTTTCTATTTTTCATTATCATTATCAATCATTCGAACGTTTTGAAAATTAGAAAAATATCATTATTTTCTACCTTCTCTTGTTCTAGCATTTAAGTAGTTCACAATTTGATTCTGTTCATGTTTTTCTCTGAAATATTCTGAACGGAATATATATTATTTCAGCCTTTGTTTGCAGCCATGGTTACTCATTTTATTTATTACCAATATCTTCAGATATTGAATTCTCAGCAATTTTGGATGAGAGAAATATTTTCCTATATCAGAAATTCTGTAAGAATGTCAGTTTACAATTCCCTGGATTGTACAGAATGGATGGAATTGGACACTTTTGAAGGAAAACTCCTGTTTTAAAACTGGATAGATGAACACTGATGGCTGTGTCTGAGGGTCAAATTTTATGACAAATTCAATGGTGAAAACCGCATATCGATATCTATCATCGTTTCTGTTCATATTTCAATAGAGCTCAAAATTACCCTTCTAAAAATGTAGCACACTTGATGTTTTGCTAGAGTCATCTTTGAAATACAGAGCTTTAAGGTGTAGACTTTGAATCGTACCCTTTGATCAAGTAGGATATCAAATGTTGAAATTTTCACAGCAGTAATTAAAACGCATAGTTTCAATAAAATTGATAACAATTCATACTACAGGGTGTAACTGAATAAGTGTAAAACATTTAAGGAGGTGATTCCTCATCGAAAAAAAGATAGGATCTTTCATATATAGAAACTTCATTGGAGCATCCCTTGTTAAGATACAGCCCTTTGAAGGGGATACATAAAATTTGTTTTTTTCACAGGCACTGAAAAACTTACAATATTGAAATTAACCTGACGTTTTGTACGACCAAAAAGACACTCAGCCAGTAATTTATTTGGTTTACCCCATGGTTGTAAGGGCTGGAAAACGCAACCTCTGAAATGTATTTCCAATGTAATTTTTTGTCTTATTATTTGTTTACCATTTAAAAAATTATTTCCGATAGCTTGTTTCATTCTAAACAAAAAATATCTCTTGGGTTTTTTGCCCAAAATAAATCAGTTCCCAGCAAAAAATTATTTTACGAACAACTACAGAGATACATCGTCATAAATGCGAACTGGATTTATTGTTATTTTGTAGTTGGTACCTGCATTAAACGATTGAAGGGCAATAAACAAAACCAATTTATTAATAACAAAACACACAACATGTAGAAGTCATAGTAAATCTTCAATATGTCTATCTTCAGACGTTACGCATGCGTCTAGACGTCGGCGCATTGAGCCACGTATTCGCTCTAATATTCCTGGAGTCTCTCTGATTACCCTGCACGCATCGATGATGTGGTTTCTCAAGTCCTCTACTTCGCGAACAGGAGTACAATAAACCAAATGCTGTAAATTGCCCCAAATAGAGAAATCGCGAGGATTGTGATCCGGGGATTGAGCGGGCCAGTTCGGTGGTCCTCAACCTATCCACTGATTTGCATATGTTTCAGTTAAGTGCTGACGTGCTACATGACTAAAATGAGCGGGAGCCCCATCATGCGTAAAAACATATCCCTTCTGACGCCCAAAGGAACTTCCTCCAGCAGTACTGGATGCACTTCTCTTAAAAATTGAACGTATGCCTCACCATTTAATCGAGGAGGTAAAAAATGAGGCCCAATTCAATCATCCCCAATAACTCCGAATCACACGTTAAGAGAAAACTGTTCTTGATGGTTAGTTTCGACAATAGCGTGAGGGTTTTCATCAGCCCATATGTGGTAATTATGAAAATTAATAATCTTGTCCCGAGGAAAACTACATTCGTCTTTGAATTCTATCGTCTTCAGAAAGTCACAATTTCTTCTAATCATTTCCAGTATCCAATTGGAAAATTCAAGACGGTTCGGAAAGTCTCGCGGTAACAGTGCCTGTACTCGTTGCAGATGGTAAGGGTATAAGAGTTGTTCCTTTAAAATTCGAAATACCGTCATATGATCAACATTTAGCTGGAAAGCAATCTTTCTAGTACTGGTAGTAGGTTGTTTTTCAATCAAATTCAGTACTGCTTCCTCAAGCTGTGGTGTTCGTACTTCTCGATGGCGACCACAATCCTGCGTTCCTTTGTCGAATGAACCATATTCTCGTAATCGTTGATGAAGTCAAGCAAATATTCTATGTGAAGTATGCTGCCGTTGAGAATACATTTCAGCATATTTAGAAGCTTCTAACCCATTCCCCTGCGACAGACCGTAAACGTAATGCATATCAGCCATTTCCTCATTTGTGTATGCCATTTTAATAACAAGTCAATCATTGAAGTAACAAATTAAGAACAGAACAACAACACACAATTAGTATTAATTCAATTCCTGAAATTCACAAACTGACAGCATCATACCAATTTAATTGTCACTATCGCTAATAGCGACCTACTAGATAGATTAGTTTCGTATTTACGCATTTATGACAAATGGGCAAAAAACCCAAGAGACATTTTTTGTTTAGAATGAAACAGGCTATCGGAAATAAATTTTCAATATTGTAACTTTTTTAGTGCTTGTGAAAAAAATTATTATAAAAATTTCATGTACCCCCTTCATTAAGGGGCTGTATCTTAACAAGGGATGCTCCAATGAAATTTCTACATATGAAAGATCCTATCTGTTTTTCGATGAGGAATCACTTCCTTAAATGTTTTACACTTATTTAGTTACATCCTGTATATCTACTATTAATAAGTGAAACTTCAACAATAATAATGATAAACATGTTTATCATAATGAACATGTCTAAAAAAGCAATTATATTCCTCAAAAATAATGATAAAGAACAATCAATGAAATATATATCCTCAAAGAAGGTGTTCGAAATGTCTACCAGCTTTTCCTACACACAGTCGACACTTTTTCTGGATAATTTTTGTCGAATAAATTAATTCAATAGGAGTGAGAGAAGCAAAACTTTGCATCACTGCTACTTTCAATTCGTATCAAGAATTGGTCGGCAATTTAAAACTGAGATCTGTAAACCTTCTCCAGCGGTGAAAGTACATAGGTGTTAGTTCCGGTGACCTGGCCGGCAAACGGTTTGGTCCTTGGTTGGCTATCCAATTATTAGCAAAATTTGCAGCCAAAAAATTTGTGACATATGCAGTATTGTGAGACGAAGCCCCGTCTTGTTGAAAATATATTCTTCTGAGCTCCATTGATGGCAATATGTCAACAAGGGGTTAAATATGTTGCTTTAAAATTTCTAAATACCTCTGAGATGTGAGAGTACCAGTGTAAATGAACGGGCTGATAATTAAACCCCTGAAAAAACTTGCACACACACTAAATCCAGATCTTGCTTGACTTCTCTGCTCCACAATAGAATGATAATTTTTTGTTGTGGCCAAGTATAAGAATTGTAGCGGTTGAAAATGCCGGCACAGCTCACATAAGCTTCGTCTGCACTTTGTTACAACTTTCCAGGAACTACTGGCAAAAAGCCATACGGCGTTCAAAAATCTCCTGATCTGAGTTGATCATACTGCAACTCAGAAATGATAGATATCGGTATGCGGTTTTCACCATTGAGTTTCAGCATAGTTTGAAAACAGAAGTTTCCTTTTTAAAAGAGACCCACGCATCATCGAGGATTACTGAAGCTCCATTAACCTTGGATTATCCGCCTCAATGACAATGCAGTTTTTTTTAAGAAACAATGAGTTTTTCCATTATCTGTCTCCACCGTAGAGTTTTTTTCCTTACTGATAAAACAGTATATCTGGATTTAGTGGACAATGAAGCAACAACTTACTGTCCTTCAGAAGCCCAAATAACAGGAAGTTGACACGTTGAATTTCAAGTTTTATTGTAAACTATTTTTTTCAGATATTTCGAAATCTTGTTCGCAATATTACAGTAAAATGCTCAAATGTTTGAAAAATCTAGCTTGAACTGTTTTGAAATAATGAACATTTTTCAAAGTTCCGTCATCTCTACTACTTCTGCTGGGTTTTCCAAATTATCTCCATATCAGAAGGTATGAATGAAGGAGCACAGACCATCATTTCAACTTTTCTTCTTGATTTACTGATGAATGCTTCTCGACATATACTTACTGTTTGCTCATATCTTCGTATTTCAATGCCAATAGGGCGTTCTGTGTCTCTGAAATTCCAAAATTTGAAACGATTTGGTATCTTCACACTTCTTCCACTGCTCTCTAGAGTTGAATTTTTCTATTTCCTTCTCTTTTGAACTGTTCTGCCTTTGCTAGTTTTCCACGCTGGGACTGATTGATTTTTCTTCTCGGACTATTAGTACTCAATTATAACTCTGGATTTTTCATTCCCCTCTGATGACATTGATAATGAAGCTCCAGTTCTAACCATAAGGCGTTTCAGATTTTTTCGTAACACTCATTGCTAAATGAAACCAAATCTCAAAGACGAAGCATTCGTTATCTAACACCTGACAGCGCAGCTTAAATCAGCCATAGGTTACATCACTGATGCTAGACTGAACTGCGAATGAATTGCCAAGACTCAACTTTTTTTAAAGAACAGGCCTGAGTAAATGAAGGCGATAGCATCTCTCTTCACAGAAACGCCACCAACGGCATCAACAGAAGGCTCAATCCACGAATATCAAAGATGAACAGGTCTCCTCAAAGCAACCCGTTGTAAAGTCAAGCTTCAATATCAACCAGAGAGCGGGATTCGTCCACAGTCTTAAATTGCAGTTTTCATTGCAAGGCAACTATATGAATCCAAAAAACACAGTATTCGTGATCCAACACCAGACAGCGCTATTTTCATTCATGAAAACGCTACACAATATTATATGTTATGAGAGATCCTATATACAAGTTCATTCACATGGAACGCTATCATCCTCAATGGTGGACTTCGAATTTTCGAAATGAAACAGCTGTCTAATTACATCAACAGCACCGTCCTGAAGAA